TCACTCGATTTGTTTACCATAGCGACACTCTGGCACTAAGTTCACTTAACATTATTATATTTCGTTCATATTATAACTCAGAATGCACAAAATCTATATCATTGAAAAAAAATCATCTAATCGTTGCCACATGTTCAATTCAAATGCTGTAATAAAGCTAGAGCGATGTATAAAAGAAATTAAGCAAACACAACAACAACAACAACAAAAAAAAAAAAAAAAAAAAAAAAAAACAGTTTTTCATAGACGACTGAGTATTTCTCATTCAATTAATTCAGTTTTCACTTCGCGACAAGGCAAAAATACATAAAAACTCAAAATATCTGTATAAAAAATTACGAAGTAAATCTTAAACACTTATTTCCTCAGAAAAATTCCAGAAAGGATTAAGCATGATTTAATTCGCAATAATACATGAAGGCGTTATTTTTGTTGTTGCGAAGCTACGTTTCTCTAGATTGGAAACAAATCCACTACTCTGTTGTTTCAAATGTAAACAAGCAATGGCCGCCATCAAAAAAATTATTAGGCTTGGCGGCACTTAAACAACTTTAAAATTGTTGATAATTCTAAAAATATTGCATACAGATTTACTAAAGGCATAAAAACTTTAACCGGAAGATAAGAACAATATAATTCAATCATTTTTAAAGCAAAAAATGTACAATTTGCAAACATATAAGAGTAAAGAAACTGAGATCACCGAGTCGGGTAACAGAGTGGATATATATATATAAATATATTTATATACGTTTGGTGCGGCCGATTGCAACCAAAATACGAGGTGCACATCTACATATTATATTAGTCCTATATACAAAATTTTAACGTTCTGAAGCTGCTCGTTTTTGAGTTATACGAGATACGTATGTATGTACGTACGTACAACATACGTACAACGTATGTACAACGTACGTAGGTTCGTACAGACGCTACGAAAAATTCTCTTCAAAATTTATTTTAAAGCAGTTTTATAATTTTTTTGGAGGAAAAGAGTCTTTTATTCTGTCCTTACGTACAGATATCACGCAAAACGTCGTTGAATTGCACTCGAAAGCGGTCAAAATGGATATTTTCGTTGAAATATGCTGCCTGAAACTTTTCGCCGTTAGAATACTTCCTTTTTACTTCGTACAAGGAAGTAATAACAGTAGCTATTAATATTAACAATTGTAACGGTAAAAGGTTTTTTCCGCAACGGTAAAGTGTTCCCGCTGCATAACCCGACATACAGCAATTGGCCGCAGAAGTAGAGGGATGGAAGGTTTTAGAAACTGATGTTTAGGTTACATTTGTTTAGCATATGTAGCTGAGGATTGTAATGACTTACCCGCTATGAGCCTATTCCGGAGTGCTATGTATTACAAGCCACCAGACGATGACACCTTCAAGTTTATGTGAAATGGGTTCTTTCAAGAGACATACCATGATAAGGTGGCGAAAGGCACAGATTCCGGAAATCAAAAAGACAAGGTTTCGTCATGCGACAAATAGTCTACGCGCCAAAAAAAAAAAAAAAAAAAAAAAAAAAAATACACTAGCAATCCTACTCAGTTTGAAAAACCAGAAATTTTCTAGAAGATCTCGAACTCAACAAGGAGTACTTAATACTCAGTGGTATCTGCAGAAGGTTATGACGGACTCTCTTTATCCGGTTTCGGTAATAGTCTCAGATGAGATACGCTTCGTCAGGGAAAGTTGCTATAATGTATAGTGCGAAAAAAAAAAAGAGGATGAATTTCATATATTGCTTTAAATAGCTGCAGAGACATTAGGTATTTTTTGGAAGCAGAGGAGATGAAAAATTATCATCGCCTTCGCCGGGAATCTAACCGCGGACTTCTCAGTTACGCGCTGAGTGTGCTGAACAGTACACTACGAACGGTTGTTAAGAAGGAGGGAGAAATACCTTATATATTCACCCTTTTAAAGGACGACTGGGGCTTTTTAGGGGAAAAATTGCCAAGTCCTGGGTGGGGAGAATCATCATCCACCACCCTTTTTATTTCAGCCGCCACTGTAGAGACATTAGGTATTTTTTGAAGCAGGCAAGATCAAAAATTAGCAAACGCCTTCGCCGGGAATCGAACCGCGGAACCCGGGAATGCCGGCCTAGTGTGCAAACCATTACACCCCGAAGGCACGCTACGAAGGCGGGAGAAATACCTTATATACTCCGGCGACTGGGGTTTTTAGGGGACTCAGTCGCCAAATCCTGGGTGAGAAGAATCACCATTCAACACCCTTTCAGTCCGGGCGCCAGAAACATTAGACATGTAAAGACATTAGGATTCTTTTTTTGGAAGCCGAAGATATGAAATTTAACAAACGACTTCACCGGGTATCGAATCGCGGATCTCTCAATTACGCGGTGAGTGTGCTGACCACTACATCACGAAGAGCCGCTAAGAAGGCGGGAGAAATACCTTATATAGCTTTAACATTGTGCTCATTGCTTTACACAATTTTATCGTTCGAAATTTAGTTTCTTAAAATGTTATTCATATTTTAATTAAATATTTTATTTTTGAAATCGCAAGAATCAAATATACTAAGATTAAAAAGTTTTGATTTAGAAAAATACTAAATTTTTAGTAAAAATTTATTTTTTTCTTCTCTTTTCTTGCTCTTTTTCTTCAGACATTCTGCAAGTATATTCAAAAGCATCAAAATTTTCTTCTCCCTAATTTTCTTCTTTACTCTTACATTTATTTTCAGTACTCACCACAAAAATAAGATTTTTCGATTGTTACACATCCATAAATTTTGCATTCTTGTCAATTTTCTTTTAAATATCAATTGCATCAACTGCGTTTCAGTTGAAGGCAGCTTTACATTTTCTAGGTATTTTAACTATAAATAAAGTTTAAAGCAAAGTCCAAAGGATAAATATTTTAATTAAAAGATTTTTTTGTTAAATAACAAAAAAAAAAAAAAGTCCAGCAATGTTTATTCGTTACCACTGAGTAACCCGATTATTATATCTGCTACAAATAATCTAAATCATGTTAAAGATCTAAATCATGTTTTTATACAATCTACAATACGAGAGAAAATTAGCTACTTAAAGCATTCTTTCGAAGAGGATTAATGTAAAATGTTATACTTATATATATAATTTTTAAAGCTGGGTCATGACCCAAACTGCCAACGTCCTGTTTGCTTAAAAGCATTGCGGAAATAAATATCAAACGTTTCTCAGTTTTAGACAATTAAATTTAAATGTAGTCAAAGTAAAGTAGCAGACGATAACACGGCAAAGGTAAAAATGTACTCTTACAAATATATATATATATATAAGAAGAAGAAAAAGAAGAAAGAAAGAAATTAAAAAAATTTAAAAATTTGAATAATATCATATATAATTAAAAAAAATAGCTTTTCATATAGTATTACTAAATATTTATTACGCATCATTTAGGAAAAAAATCATATAATTAATTCTCCCTATTTGAAATTTAAGGTTAAAAATAACTATGGTAATTCATTGTAACAATAGTCCATAAACCACATTTGGCGTTATTATCGCTCAAAAAAAAAAAAAAAAAAAAAAAAAAAATGCAAAATTTCAAAACGCGAAAATATGTAAATTCTTGTATATCTCCGAAAATTTTGTTTAAAAAACTCTAATTTTTTGCAGGTATGCTTAAAAATAAATACACCTAATTTATGATGATGTTAAAACTTTTATAGGTTATAATTCAAATTTTTTTTCGAAAATTTATGAAACTTATTTAAAAATAGAAATTTAAAAAATAAGACACAAAAATGGATGAATTTAATTTGGAGTGAACCTAAATTTCGAAATGTGAAAGGAAAAATCAAAAAAGTTTAATAAAAAAGAGATATTAATAAATATGTGCCAAATTCAATAAACATTGAGGAGCTAAAATTTTGAGAGCTAATTCTTTAAAAACTACTCGTGCGATTTTTACAAAACCTTAACTTGAATTTTGTCAATCGGCACAGAAGAACGGGAGATATAAAAGTGTCCCCCCCCTTTTTTTTTTTTTTTCCCGCAGTGTACATAATTTGCATGTATGGGCGGTGAAGAATCTCTATAAAAGTTTCTACCTCGAAACCAGTTTGCTTTCAGCATTTGGTCCAGCCTTGTGGGAAACAACTTAATAGACTCATACCTTTTGTCTGAGGAGGAAGTCTTACCTGTTGGATGATGAATGAATCTAGCCGTCATGATTTGCGATTGCGGTATGATGGGGCTACAACACATTTCAGCTGTGATGTTTGGGAAGTACTCCATTGGAACATTTAGATAACACTGAATGGAGCGTAGTGGTCCCATTCATTGTAGTGCAATCGTGACCTTTCCTGACTGAATGTTTTCAGGGAGTTCATATGAATGATTTGGTGTGCTCTAGAGCCTTGGACACACTAGACAATTGAATGGCAGCCTTGACCGTTTAAGAGACGTCAAGAAAATTTCCAAATGTCCAGGATTTCTTGTAGCGTTGATATCAGGCTTGTATTGCAGCTGGTGGCTGATGATACACATTTTGTAACTTCTCTCAGTGCCACAACTGTTACATTTGATGGATTAAAGCAATGTTTTTTAGTTGTGTGTTACTATTTCATTTCTCGTGTTCTCAGCCCACTTGCGTCTGGGAGGCTAAATGGGTATCTGAACATGATCATTCTTTGAGTTATTTTGTCACAAAAGAAAGTAACATCTATATATCTACATCTCTCTGTCTCTGCATATGTATCACAAAACGTAAAAATAGGAAATGATTATACTATGCCGGAATCAATAGTTGTAGGGGAGATAAGCAGAGGGTCTTTAATTAAATTTTGCGCAGTTCATAGCTTATCATACATAGAATGCAACATTTATTATCAAAAAATTATATTAAATTAAGCAATAAATTAAATATATTACTCCTATTTTTTATTTCGAATGTTCAAGAAGTTTCTGATTTCTTAATAATTTCTTTGTTGCATTTTAAACTTATAGGTAGGATACCCTGGCGGCGAAGCTTTGATTTTCCTATATGCTTGAACTTAAAATTATTGGAGGCGTCGTTCTTCATTGCGTCCAGAATAATGAGCTGAAGTGAATTCTTTAGTAAGTATTTTTGTTAATACTTTTACCTTGGTCGGACCATGTTATATCTCTATTTTGTTGTTGCATAAAAAATAATCTAATCTTTCTAACTGCAAATTTCTGTCTAGAGTATCTGTACAAAGTGTTAAATATCGCATGACCTAATCTTTATTTATCATTAATTGATTAGCCATAAATTGATGGCATATACAGAGACCATGCCATAAATTAATGACTAAATGGACTATGAAAGAAAGTTCATCAATTTTGGAACAGTCTGAGAACTACACTTTTAATTCGTTAGAAAAGCTTTGTAAATACGTTTCTCTCTACTTGATTTAGATATTATTCCATAATAATACATACAGGGATTGGCTAAAAATATGGACACACCTCGTAAAATGCATGTTTGAATTGAAATGTTATCCTTGTAAACGCCTTTAGTGGCGTTTACAAGACTAAAGGCTAAAGGCGAGTAGGCTAGTAGAGACAAGACTAAAGGCAAGTAGGCTAAAGGCGTTTACAAGAAATGTTATTCTTGTAAACGCCTTTAGCCTGAAATGTTTGATATTTCAAACAAATATCAATATATTATAAATCAATACATTACAAACAATACTGATATTTCTAACAAATATAAATGCTTGATATTTTACATTAAGGAAAACCGGAAGAACCGCATCCGCTAAACCATAGAGCGGACGAAAATGTGTGTTGAATAATGGTAACAAATGATCATTGAAGGAGGATTCTGATGAAAGATAAGAGGATTACAGCAGCAAAAGTGAATACGAATTGAATGTCGCACTCAAAAAATCCTGTGAGCACAAACAATACGAAGGGAGATCCACGCGTAAGGTATTTTTGGGCGAGTTGTATTCCAAAAACCATTCATCAGTGATCAAAATTGCTGCAAGAGGAGAAAGTGGTACCAACACATAAAAGCTGGACTGTAGAGCAATGGAAGAGTGTCATTTAGACGGATGATTCTTGCTTCATACGGTTTTCGATTTCTAGGCGAGGTTACATCTAGCGTATGATTGAGATCTTTTGCTGCCGAGAATGGAACATGGCCCGGATTCGGACATGGTTTGGGCAATAATATCGGGGTATTCCATGGGACGCATCATTACTGTGATAGGTCACATTGCTGCCAAGAAGCATGTGAAAATCTTTGCTGATCACGTCCATCCCATGATATAAATTTTATTCTCTAATGGTGATTTCGTATTCCAAGAACACATAGCTCCTGTTTACTGATCTCGCATCGTTTAGGACTGGTTTTCGGAGCATGAGGGTGAGTTTTCACAGGTACCATAGCCACCACAATGAGATATGCATATTATTGAGAAGTTGTTTTGGGAAGAAATCTGCTGAGAGCTATCGAGCGCCAGCATCGTTAACTGAATTTGCAAACATTCTACAGGAAGAAATGTACAAGATTCCCTCGCAAAGCATACAGGACCTCTATTTATCCATTCCGAGAAGACTGCAAGATGTTTTGAATGCCAACCGTATCCCGACACCATATTAGTCACAGCAATGTGTTTTATTTCGGTGTTTCCATATACTTGTCCATCCTTCTGTAGAAGAAATTACGATGAGGAAATAAAAGAAAAATACCACAAGTTTGGTATCATGGGTTGAGTTATCAACCAGAAATAAAAGATTCTTTGACTACAGATAACTGTTAAAAGCATTGATTCATAGAACTGTAAAATTTGATTTAAAATAAAAACCTAGTAGTAAAAACGGGGGAAAACAATTAAAATTTTCGTAATAAATTCAAGTTCCATTTTTCACGAAATACAAAGAGATGCTTATTTTTCTTATCGTATTTGAAAGAGCCAGATTCAACTATAATAAATAAGTAAATGAAGAGGTGAAAATAAAATAATAAAAAATTCAAACAAATGATTAGTACTAAGCAAATTTCAAATTGCCATATATATTGCATCTAATCCTAAGCTTGAAAAATCGTTTTAGAAATCTTCGTTATTTCACCTATCGTCAAGAAATAATAGTGCAATACAAGAGATATAGATTTCATTTAAAAACAATCGGGCTAGCGAAAATATAGAAGTAAAGAATATACAGAAATTAATGGTAATACTTGAGAAGTGTAAAACCGATACCTGCGTAGGTTTAAGCTAAATGCCCTTATATTTTATAAAGTAATGAATTTGTAAGTTAAAGTACCACATTTGAATTATAATATCCACTATATAAGTTTGAGATAGAATTCTGGGAAAAAATGATAATATTTTAAAATTTCTTTCCCATTGGTCCTAAACATGCATTTTCAAACTTATGGAAACATTTTCCCAAGTGTGGATTTGAGGATTCTGTAAAATAGATATCTAGATTTTAGCATGGTTATTTAAAGTAAAAATTCTAGAATTCAATGATCATTAGGTTTTGAGAAGCTAAAAAATGTTGGGCTTTTGTGTGAAAGAACAGATATTACTGTTTATTTTGAATCCTGAAAAACATGTATAAAATTAATTAACGCATTTGCTCTTTCAATTACTGTACTCATTTGCTAACATATTCTTTCCAAGGTCATCTTCTATAACCAGATATTTTACACCAAAGTCAACATTTTATGAAAGAATACAAAAATGTAAAAGAAATGTTTCTAACTGAAATTTCATTTTTTGAATAAATATATTCATTTATTAATATAGGTGTTTACAAAAATGTTCTCCTTAAGTAGATACTTTGATCATAGTCCAACAGCAGCCGAGTGATGAAACCATTGAACATTGGTACATTGATTGAGCTTCAATTCCGGCGAACAGTCCTGATTGCATGGGAGTTTTCGAGGTTTCTTCGTGTATTTTTCTTTATTATCAAATGTGGGCACTTGCTTTCCTAGTATTGGCAACTCCTAAAGTGGTGGCCATTTTATTGTGAAAGCATCGAGTAGGCAGCCACGGTTACCGCCTATGTGAGGACAGACAATTTACATCCATGCCTTTCCCGAGACTCGAACCTGGATCCTTCGGTATCGCACAAAGTAACAAAGTTGCCAAGCGGAAACTGAAAACAATAATTGACTACTGTACTAGCAATTACTCTTCTGACACTGGAAGATAGTAGTCATAAAAGTCTATATAAACTAGTTCAATATGTCAGCAACAGAGTATGTGATATGTATGTTCAATATGTAATTTTGTATTTATGCTCTACCAGGTTCTCATACATAAAGTTTGTACTGTATCTGAATGCTGTAATGTATCTGTACATGTTTACATCTTTTATTTATGGTACCTAATTTATACTAAGGATCACGCGTATCTCAATGGCATGCTTCTTGTAAACTTTAACTATCATGATAACGTATATGAATGGGTGTATATATCAATATGAGTGAGAGTATGTATACTTTTATTTGCTTCAGAATATCTATTTATGTAAGTGTGTATATATCTGTATATGAGTTTGTATTTATATGTATATACATATATTTTGATTGCACTCTTCTTCAAGTGCCTTGTATGCACATGTATATATTTTCTTTGTACATTGTTGTACTCTTCTTCAATTGCCTTGTATGCACGTGTATATCTCTTTTTTGCATTTTATAAATGTCGTCTGCTCAGCCGGGGCTGCGCAGGGCTGAGGCCTGGTAGCTATTGGTTGACTCCCGCCGAGATGGTAACCAATTCTGCTTGGATATATCTATACCTGGGTCGGAAGCCAACTCATCGGTTTCCCTCCCCTAACCTCTATACCGTCTGCGCGGTAGGTTTCTTCATGTGTTTCGCGAAAGCAAATCACTGTGCAAAAATATAAATATGTAAATATGAGTTTAAAGGCTTGATGTATAATTTTTGAAAATTTTTATCTTTTATATACATAACTTGCCTCCAAAATATTTAGCTAAATATTATTTATGATCTATCAAACAACTGGTTGTTAAGAAGTAAGCGATATTTCGTGTAGTATATTAAGATTAAAAAAGCTGTAAAAACAGAAATTATTTATAACTGGGTTTTTTGGCTTAAACGTAATAACAGTACTACGCAGAAAACTAAAATTGCGTCAGTCTAAATTATTAATTACTAACACTTTAAGTGATTACATGATGAGGCATACTCCTATGTTGTTGCGAAAATCAGTCTTTTCCACCGAGCATATCGAGGCTGAATGGGTAAGACATCGGATTCGCAAGTCAAAGGTCACGAGTTCGAAACCCAACAAAAGCGAGTCAATAGAAAGCTATTTTTGTTTATATTTCCTTCCTGTTAATTTAGGCAATTGAATTGATCTCTTACAGGATTCGAGTAGAAGACTGAGGAAGATGGTTGATGAGAAGGACGCCGAGTACAATCCCTTAGCTTTGTTTCGAGTAACATCGCATCAGTACGAATCCTGACTTTCAAACTAATTTTGATCGAATCACCACCTATAACCACTGCGAGATCAAATGTGTCTGGCGAGCATCTTTTTTTTTTTACTTTGCTGGAACCGCTCGACAGTGGTTCGATGATAATGAAAACAATTTCACAAGTTGGACTGTTTTCAAAAATGCTCTCGAAAATGCATTTTGTCGCGCATTTGATGTAAAGCGTCAAGATGAAAGACTGCTACTCATATGTGCGCAGTAATGAGACATCTGAAGCTTACATTCAAGGACTACTCGAAACGATCTTAAAAGAGCTACTCGCATCGATATGTTTTGGACTGGCTGGCTGGTGACCCTTCGAGATGCCACATGCTCTCTCTGAATTTAATTATGCCCCTGCGACATTCGAACGGATTATGAATACGGTACTAAAAGGCCTTAAGTAGAATATTTGTCTTTGCTACCTAGACGACATAATCGTGCACCAATCGAATTTCCTAAAACACCGAAACCGCTTGAGAAATGTTCTGATATGTATCCAAACAGCAGGACTGATTGTAAATTCCCGCAAATGTCATTCGGCAAAAGGAGACTAACAATGCTGACACACGTAGTAGATCACCATGGATCTATCACGATCTAAGAAAGACAAATCCTGTAACAAAGCTTT